CAGCATTCCCAAAGGAAGGGTTGCCCAGCATTCCCAAAGGAAAGGCTGCCCAGCATTCCCAAAGAAAAGGCCGCTCAGCATTCCCAAAGGAAAGGCTGCCCAGCATTCCCAAAGAAAAGGCCGCTCAGCATTCCCGCTATCCCCTTCTCCCCACCCTTCCTGCCTGGAATCCGCAGCGTTTCCTCTCCTCCAGATCACGTTCGAGATCTCCAAGCCCGAGGAATGGCAAATTCCCATCTGGATCATCCTTGGGAGTACCTTTGGAGGTCTCCTGCTCCTGGCCCTGCTGGTCCTGGCGCTCTGGAAGGTGAGCAGCTTTTGGGGGATTTTGGGGGATTTTTGGAGATTCCCGTGCCTGGAGGAACCCTCTGGATCCGTGTCCAGCGCCCCAAAAGCTCCTTAACACCACCAAGAATCCTCAAAACCTCCTCCAAAATCCCCTTTCCCATACAAAAATGATAACCAGGACCAAATTCCAGCTGCTCTCCCATGAAAAGCTCCTGGAATCACAGCGGGATTTTGTTTCTCTTCCCTCCCCACAGCTCGGGTTCTTCAAGAGCGGGAGCCGGCGGCGAGCGGCCGAGCGGGAGCAGAATTCCCACGGGATGGAGTGACTCTGCCGGGGCCAGGAGCCCCCTCCCAGCTCCGGAGATTCCCGGGATCCCGCGGGATCTGGGGGCTGAGCTCGGCGTTGCAGCAGGATGAGGGAACGCTCCTTGTGGGACAGCACTTAAAAGCCATTAAAACCCCTCAAACCCACTGAAAATTCCCCAAAAATCTCCTCGGAGGTGCTTCCAACTGGGATTCCATAAAAACCACCTCAAACCTATGGAAAATTCTCCAAAAAACTCCTTAGAGGTTCTTTCAACGGGGATTCCATACAAAAACACCTCAAAGCAACCAAAAATTCCCAAAAGATCTCCTCAGAGGTGTTTCCAACTGGGATTCCATAAAAAACACCTCAAACCAACTAAAACTTCCCAAAAAATTATTCTCAGTGTTGTTTCCAACTGGGATTCCATAAAAAACACTTCAAACCACTCAAAAATTCCCAACAAATCTCCTCAGAGGTGTTTCCAACTGGGACTCCATAAAAAACACCTCAAACCAACTAAAAATTCCAAAAAAATTATTCTCAGTGTTGTTTCCAACTGGGATTCCATAAAAAACACTTCAAACCACCCAAAAATTCCCAAAAGATCTCCTCAGAGGTGTTTCCAACTGGGATTCCATAAAAAAATCCTCAAACCACCCAAAAATTCCCAAAAGATCTCCTCTGAGGTGTTTCCAACTGGGATTCCATAAAAAACACTTCAAACCACCCAAAAATTCCAAAAAAATCTCCTCAGAGGTGCTTTCAACTGAGATTCCATATACAAACACCTCAAACCAATGGAAAATTCCCAAAAAAATCTCCTCGGAGGTGCTTTCAATGGGGATTCCATGAAAAACACCTCAAAGCAACCAAAAATTCCCAATAAAATCTCCTCGGAGGTGCTTTCAATGGGGATTCCATATAAAAACACGTCAAACCAAGCAAAAATTCCCAAAAAAACTCTCCTTGGAGGTGCTTCCAACCGGGATTTCAGAGGTGGCAGCAGCGGGGATGAGGGGACACCGACACGAGGGGTCCTTGATGTGGGGCTGGAAAACTCCTTAAAATAATAATATTATCCCAAAAAAAACCCTGGATTGCTCTTCCCGTGGCGGAGCTGTCGCAGATCCCGGGCTCTGCTGGCCACGGCTCTCAAACTGCCTTCGTTAAGAGGAGTAATTAAGTGGAGGAGTTAATTAGTCTGAATGCACTGAATGGAATTCTTGTGATTTCAAGCACCTTAAATAAATGCCCAATCTCCGGTGTCCAGCTGTACATAATTCTTCTAAAAACAGGAAGGAGAGGAGGGGGGGAAAATTTAAAAATCCTGCCAGAAATAATTAAAAAAAAAAAGAAGAAAAAGGGAAAAAAACCCCAAACTTAGAAATCATTTGGGAAAAAAATTAAAATGGTTTGAAAAATGGATGAAAAAGCAGTTTGATGAGCTGTGTCCCAGCAGAGCAGTTTGGGGAGCCCACGTGTATCATACCTGTACATAGCCGGTGCCATGGAAATCATGGAATTTTGAGGGCGGGAATGCGCCCTCGGCATAGCGGAATTATTTATGCTAATATTAATTTTATGGAGAAGAGGGAAGCGGATTTTTCTGGATGCAGGATGAGGTTCGGGAAATACTGTTCCTGGTATTTTTTAAGGAATAAAACTACGGTATTTTAAAAATTCCCGGTGTCTGCTCCCTTTTTTTTCTGTGGGTATGAGGGGAGCTGCTCTGGGATCGGCGGGAGGATGGATCCTGGAATTTTTCCATCGTTTATTTCTGTGGGATGTGAGGCTGCCCCGGGAGGTTTGAAAGGGAGACCCAAACTTGGTACAAAATGGGATTGAAAAATTCCCAGATCAGATATTCCATGCTCAGCTGGAGTGGGAATTCTGCAATTCCCCATTTTTGACGGACTATATATAAAAATATATATACAGATAACTATATATAAATATATATATATATATATATATATAATTTTAATATATTATAAATATAATATATATTATGTATTTTATATATATAGACTATATATTAAAATATATTACATATATTTTTATATGTAGACATATGTGTATCTATATATTTGAGTATATATATTAAAAATATTAAAAATATATCTATGTATATAATTAGCTATATTTGTATGTATTTTGTATATACATTTATATACACAATTTTTATATATTTATATTTATATTTTTATATATACATTTTTATTTTTATTTAGATTTTAATTTTTATTTATTATTATTTATGTGTATATATATAATATATATATATCAGATAGATATATATATTTTATATATATATCTGATATATATATATCTGATATATATATATATGATATATTTTATATATATATATATATATATATTATATATTATATATTATAGATAGATAGATAGATAGATAGATAGATAGATAGATAGATAGATAGATATATGACACTTTCCACTATCCCAGGCTGCTCCAACCTGGCCTTGGACAATTCCAGGGATGTGGAAGTCTCAGCTCCTAAACGTGGAGATCCCAAACCTGACCCTACAGCTTTTCCCTCCATGGACACAAACCCCGGACAAACACCAGGAATTCCAAGGTAATTCCACATTCAACGTTTATTTCCTTGTCATACAAATAGAAACGTGGGCCCCAAATCTCGCCTGAAAGTTCTACCCGGATTGTTCTTTAAAAAACCCCCCGGAACATTCATTCATCCCGACGGTTAAAAAGCTGCGTGGGGAAGGAGCAGAGGGTTCCGGAGCCTTGTCCCAGCGAGTGACGTTTTCCTGGTGGAGCATCTGCCACTTCTCCCAAAGTTCTCAAGCGACCACGTCCCCGCACAACCACTCGCTCATCAGCACAGAGCTCGATGAGAGGAGAAGTTTTTATTTTTTTTTGGGTTTTTTTTTTTGGTAAAAAATCAGTTTTAAGAAGAGATTTTTTTTTTATTTCCCCCACTGGAAGGAGTAAAAACCATGAAAAAATCCTCGAGTCCGACTGAGGGAGGCACAGACTCCAACGCCTCTTGGAAAAGCCAGGTTCAAGGAAGACTCTCTTTGGCGGCAGGCGGCTCCGGTAGGCAGACGCAGCATCTGGAATCCAAGAGTGCAGCTGGACAGACGTCGAGTCAAAAAAAAAAATAAAGGTGCGTGTTGAGCGTCGAAACAAGAGGAGAAAACCCAAGTTCAGAGCAGTTTGAAATGTCGGGACGCACACAAACACAAATTCCCTACCCACTTCCGAGGGACTTCATGATGTTTGGATAGGAGCGACGGAGCTAGGGAAAAAGAAACGGTGATTCCGGTTATTTTCGGTCGGCGTGGAAGTGGGTTTTTGTCCAAAGGTTATTCAATACTTACTGGAGCAGTGTTGAAGAGCTTGATAATGGAATTCAGCCCCTCAGAGCTGAATTTCCACCTGCATTTCCTAACAGGGCATCCCTCACGTCTGTAGCTGTAAATTTTGATTTAAAACGCAACTTTTAAAACGCTGCCGACACCTTCAGCGCGAGCTGGAAGGCGTAAAAGCGCGGTGAGGTGTGAGAGCGCCGCGCTGCTCTGGGCGTGGGCACCCCGCTTTTAACCCAGCTACCACAGAATTCCCAATTTTTCTTCTCCCGCCTCGCTGCGAGGAGTTTGAAATCCAATTCCTCGAATCGCGTCGGACACGAGACGTTCGACGGGAGTTACCCGGGGGATTCTTCTCGCGACGTTTAGAAAACCGAGAGCTAACGAAGGGATCCTTTAAATCAACAAAAAAGAAAAGGACCAAAATCTCAAACACCGGATTCAGCGACGGGACGACGATGTGGCTTTTCCTGCCCCCCGCCCTCCACCATCTCCACCCGAGAACCGAGGCCGCAGACGGAATCCAGAGGAACCCAAAACCAAAGGAATGGAGAAAAACAATTTCACGGACACGGGTGTATTCTGCTGTCTGGTGTTGTCCCGGGATAGCACCACCACGAAAGGTTGGACAGGGCCTAGTGGAACTGGACAAACTCCTCCAGAGTTCTGGGGATCTGGTTTTGGTAGCTGATGTTGTAGATCCGCACGGCGCGGGCAGCCAGGCACTTGAGACTCAGCTTCATTTGAGTTTTAAGGAGGATTTCGGACACCCCGGTGGTGCTTTTATCCAGAGGGGTTTTCTTCTGCTTGTTGGTCATGTCCGTGTGGGCGCCGGCCTCCACCAGGCTGATGATGATGGAGTGCAACGTCAAGAAGTCGCTGATGGGCCGGTGGTACTGCACGATGATGTGCAGAGGGCTGTTGCCCTCGTTGTCCACGGCGTTGACGTCGGCGCCGCAGTCCAGCAGCAGCTTGGTGACCAGGGCGTTGGGGAAGCTGCACACGTCGTTGGTGTGGAAGTCGTCCACGGGCGTGCCGGAGTTGACGGCGTGGTGCAGCAGGCTGGAGCCGTCGCGCGTGCGCGGGTCCAGGTGGATCAGGTTGTAGATCTGCTTGTTGATGCGGGACTGGTCGTCCTCGCTGCACTGCGTCTTGGTGGAGATGCACACCAGGTAGAGGAAGGTGAAGATGTTGCACTCGTAGTTGTCCACGGCCGTGTGGATGTCGGCGTCCGGGGTGGTTTTGATGCGCGCCATGCCCTGCTCGATCTCCAGCACGCTGCAGCGCAGGACGCTCTCGATGTCCTTGGCTTTCACGGGCTCGTTCAGGTGGATCATCTGCGAGAAGACCTGGGCGAACCTCAGCAGGTCCTTGTGGGTGTTCCTGTTGCCTTTCTGCCGCAGGTGCAGGGCGTGGAGCCAGAGCTTGATGCACTGCTCGAACTCCATGTTGTCCGCGTAGACCGCGCCCCGGTAAATGATGGGGTGGGAGACGTCGATATTGTCCGAGCCCAGGATTCTCTCCCGCACTATGAGGCCTTCCATGTGAAGGGCGTCTCTGTCCTGCCTAATGGACTCTAATTCCTGAGGGGTCCTGCATTCCGACCTGTTTCCGTAGGCCTCGATCTGGGGAAGCACCTCCTTCTCGATGACGTTCTCGCTGTCGCGG